CTCCTTGAAAGCGATCGACGTCTGACACTTTCTGAAATTACAGCGCAGCTTGGAATCAGTTATGGAAGTTGTGAGCTTTTAAGGGAGGTAAAGGTTGCTTATCGTTCCAAAAGACGTGACCAACCGATTCGAGACGTCATTTTCTTCCACGACAACGCTCGGCTCCATACTGCAGCTCTAACTTGCAAAACATTAGAGGAAATGAAATGGACTCCACTTGACCATCCTCCCTACAGCCCTGATCTATCGCCCTGCGATTTCCATCTCTTTGGACCACTTAAAGAAGTACTAGGAGGACAACGGTTCCCAGACGTATTATTCGGCGGTGGAGGCCTTTGCCTCCTAACACAGCACTCTTCGTTTTACGATACCGAGATTAAAAACCTTCAAATCCGATGGGCAAAATGCATTTCCAAAGCAGGAGCTTATGTTGAAAAGTGATACGTGCATGGATATTTTATTACACCGAATAAAAGGATTTTAAAAATAAAATCTTGTTTATATTTGATCCGCCCTCGTAATTGTTTGATATATTAGACACGTTACATTTAATTTTTGATGCAACGATTCGAATCTCTGAAAAGCTAAACTGATCAACTCTATGGAACACAAATTAGGCAAAATTGGTGTTATATAGAGTGTTTCGTTTAAATCTGAATGGTCCAAACATCTCGTGAGGGGTTGGACCTATCAAAAAATATTCATAAAGGAGCTAGGTGTCTGGTTCAAAGGAGCAAATTGTATGGAATAAATAATTTTGTTGTGAAGTAGTGAGGAAGATTAAAAACATTAATTAATTTTGTTAACCAGAACCTAGTACATTTTTGTTCATAATAAGATAGCATTTGTTTAGAAAAATTCATTGGTTGGTCACACGTAGTCGTTTACTGTAATATAAAGCCTTTGAGGTTGTTTTTAACGACTCCCATTTTTCAATGATTTCTTCTTCGCTCGTTACAAATTCCCTTATGAAAATTAAAATAAGTTTATTATAAACGTCGTTCTTTGTTCATTGGGTAAATAAAATAACTCTGAATACTTTCCAGAATAAAAAAAAATGTAAATTATATCTCTCTGCTTATCCATTGATCAGGGAAGAGTTTAAGCATTTAAATGCTTCTATATTTAGCACAGTTACGTCTTAGGGATTAGATGCTGCATCTTTGTTGATAAGCTATATATCAGCACAGAAAGTTATTTGTCTTATCGATTTTACCTACTGTTTTATCCATGACATTGAAAAGATAAAATTATTCCAATCATTACTAGATTTCGGATGTTTATTTATTTATGGCAATTATAGAAAAATGTATGATAAATGAAAAATTGTACAAAATATCAGCAATAAACTACATGTTACACTATTTAGAACGTGTATTAGAGAGTGTGCAGTGGTTAAATCTTTCGTAGGTCTGAAATTTACAAACAAAACTGATTAATAATTTCATATGTGTCGATTAGCGTTTAAATAAATGCGTTACATTAAAATAGCTATTATCATACATTCTCGATAATGTTGTAATGCCTTCGTTCAATTACAATTGTTAATCTCGAATAAATCGTACGTGCAAGGCTTCATAGCGTACACGCTTTCGTATAAATAACGCCGAGAGATCCAGACGCGCGGTAACTTTTGATTTATTATCATATTTTGATTCGATCCGATTTGTTTTTATCGCGTATGGTTTTCTTGCGCGCGCACGATAAGTATATGACGGGAAACGATGAATCAACGCGCGAAATCTGTCGCAACTGAATGTAGTTTTATTGTCCTTTAAGCCTGGCGAGATGAGTTACTTGCCGTTCGTGTCGTGTATAATAAAAGACCTACGGATGTCTAATGTACGTAGCGAAACTCACTATACAGACAAACGTTTCCACGGTTACGAAATAGAGGGCGTACTTACCGCAATGCGCCAGTGACGTGTTCACCTATGCAACAAGGCGTTCTTTGCATTCTGAGAAAATACAAAAACGAAATTTCGTTTATCTTCTGTTGGAATTTTTTGATTCCGGACTTGGATCTATATTACTGGCAGAACTGTGTCGTGATAAATTAACGGTTCCTTTATGATCATAGAAGTGGTTAAGAAATGGGCATTGCTTGAGGTAGTTGTAGGATTAAATAATTAGACTTTGTTTAACGAAGGAAACATGCCGAGGAGAGTAGATTAAAATTAAAGCACTGCAATCTATATTTCAAATAGAGGAGCAAAGCTTTGACTATAAGTATCGAGTCATCTAAGAAGTTCTATAAAAGTAAGGATAAATTTATATTAATAATACAAATGAAATTAGTGAGGGACCTGTAAGTGTAAAACTAAGGACCTATATTAAATAGTAGGACAAACACATTTATTTTATATTTGGACCTTTAGTTTCTGTTACCTTCAAAATCTACATACCACAGTACTAAATCAATTGTATGAAAGAGTTGGAACATCGTTCACGAATGTATCAAATAAAATGTAGAGTGCATATCTGCAACAATGTATTTTTAAAACGCAGTTGTATTAATTTTCATTAAAAAGTTCGTGTTATTCTTCTCCATGCGAAACACAAAAGTTCTTTTCTGGAGGATCCTCCAGGATCGCAGCATCAAGTGTTGTTGGTCAATAAGAGGAAGGACGCGTTCTTATATAAGACAGCAATTTAAATTTTATGTGGACGTTTCTCTCGAGTAACTTTTTCGCTTCGTAACTTGAACCACTGTAGTTAGTGCACCTTAATTAAACATTTTTAGTACTCCCCCTCGACGCTATACTTTACAGAAACAAATGTTTCATGGTATATACAAATGTTTCTATTGCATAATTAAATATAAAACAACCTGACACTTGTGCCAAAGTATTAAATGTCGTTCATGTTTGTAGCTTTTGACGATAACTCTAAATTGAAAGATTTCTGGCTGTGATAAAAATTGTTCTTTAATTGCATAATTGAATATATGACAAAAAAATATTGCCAAAATAATAAATATCATTTTCGTTTGCAGCTATTGACTATAATTTTAAATAAAAACATTTCTGGCTCTGATGTGGGGCTTCCTACGTGTATTAATTCAATTTTTTTTTTAAAACCAACACGCGTCAGTGGTATATTTTTTTAAATTCATTATTCAAAGAAATGGTATTACAAAATTTCAGCTCGCGTTCGCGATCTCGTAGATTCAGCTAATTTGTACGAGAATTAACTTCACTACAGTTTTCCATTACTTCTGTGTATTACCTATTATAAAATTTAAAAAGATGTATCTTTCTTTATTTTAGAATTTCTTAGGTTCAGTCAATTTTTACGAGTATTAATTTTACCATAATTTCGCATTTCTTCTATATACTATCTATCACAAAGTTTACAAAATGTGTCTTTCCCAATTACGAATTTCTTTACCAAAGAGGACTCGTATCAGTGTCGAAAACATTTAATTATATAAATTCAATGGTTACAAAGCCTGAATAATTTTAATATAATTATAAATTCACTGGCTACGAAGCCTAAATAATTTCAATAGATTTATTTCTCCATTTTTTCCACGCAACTTTAATATTGTAGCAAAACTTACTCGAGGAACTTTCCGCATCTATGTTTTCGTGGTTTTTCCACGCGTATTATCAGCGTACATAAGTAATACATATTTACTTTTTACGGGATGAGCAGAAGCCGGGCAGGCGCGCCAACTTGCGTATTATTGGAGTTTTAATTAATCGATTGACGAGTTATTTTTAACTTTTTTCGGTGTCCTAGTTATATTAACCTGATTATAGTTCGCTACGCGCAGACTTTGTCGCGGAGTTGTTCGACAAAAACTCGCAGCGTCCCGTTTAAAAGATGACAAAAAGTGTCTGGAACGATCGTTTCATAGCGGCATGAAAACGTCCAAAGAGCGACGAAATAATCGTGCAATGAATAGTCAAGTAGTCATCGTATACCCATCGTTAACTGTCCTGAAGAAGGTCTTTCATCCGCAAGAAAAGGCTCCTCTTTTGCGGAAGCTTCGTATCGTAACCTTGCGCCACGAAGACAATCATTAATGACGTATCTAGCTTCCATTGTACGCCTTACGCATCGCACTCATTTGTTCGTTTGTTGGACGGAATACTTACAAGGCAAGTTAGGCAATTGATAGTATCGTTGCACGTAACAAGAATTTTTGCAGAAACAAAGCTCATGGGAAACCTGTAAATTTAATGATTTACCACTGTGTAAACGTTCCATATAAATAATCTCGAAAAATATTCGTTCCGTGAAAAAATATATTCGACCATGATTTCATATCTCATCGAGATATGCAACTTTTGTTTAAAATAGTTTTTCGAAGGATCAGTTTTTCAAATCACCTGTCTCCTTTTTTTTAGGAATTTTTTTTCTCATACAGGAGCAACTCCAATTGCATAATTAAATATAAATATGACAATCGAATATTGCCAAAATAGTAAATATCATTTTTGTTTGGAGCTACTGACTACAATTTTAAATTAAGACATTTGTATTGAAAAATTAGAAAAGTTGCTCCTGTATGTTATTTAACGAAATATGCTTCAGTCTAACCAAGGAAGTGAAAAGTCTTAGGTTCTCCCAAAAGTTTCTTTCGCTTTATTAATAAGTAATACATGCACAATATTTTATGTTTTATGTTACGTTAATGAATCGTGTACAATTCATTTTGCTCCATTACTGTTACAACATGAATATCTATGAAATTAGATCGTCTATTTATATAAACACGACCACATAAAATAATTGAGTGCAACTCGCGAAAGAAAGTTTCGGGACAACCTAATAATTTTTATAGACTCAACACATGTATATATTTGTAACGAAAAATTTCTCCGGAAACCTACCATTTAATTTATCGAAATTTCTTCGATAAACACAGAGGGTACGTATATTACTGGGCTTGGCAGTGTATGCTTAATGTGAATCCATCGACTAGTAAATAGATTATAATTAAACTATTGGCCAAATAGTTCACTATTCATGAAAGCTCGTTTGACTTTTAGATTCCTCGATGGAGAGTGCCGGCGGTGACAAGCAGAACGAGTCGGACGAGTGTGACGTGATCGGTAACAATCAGCATCAGAACAAGATGACGGGCCAGGAGGACAGCAACGTGAAGCTGAGCAAGGACTTGGGGAAACAGGAGACCTTGAAGAACCTGAAGAATTTGGAGAACATCGGTCAGAACGACGACGACGCCGCGAATAAATTATCGAAGACAGTGTCCCAGGACGACGAGGACGACGATGAGGACGAGTGCAAAGGCTCCAACGAGGAGCTCAAGGAAGAGAAAACCGATGGGAAGAAGGACGAGGAGTCCTCCAGCAGTACAACGTCTACGAGCACCTCGGATGACGAGTCCGAGACTAGTTCGGACGATAAGACGGAAGCCTCGAAGACGGAGCAAACAAAGACGGTCGAGCCGGAATCCAAGAAGGAGGATCAGAGTAAAAACGACGACACCACCGACGACAGCGACATCGAGGATGACTTGATCTCTGCCATCAATTACAACACGATTACCTCATTGGCTGCCCTTAAGGACATGCTGCAGTCCTCCGGAGAGGACTCCGACGGCGTTGATAGTTTCTTTCATCATTACTTCCTGTCCCACGTGAACAGGCTACCGTCGAGGAATCAGACACACAGCCCTTATCCTTGGGGTAGACGACTGTCCGAATGCAGGGAAGAGGACGAATACGAGACGGAGGAAGGTGAGCGAATTTAACATTATTTTTAACCGACTTCGAAAAGGAGGAGGTTTTTTTTTATCTTTGTTTTATGTAAGATGACCTCATGAAAGTAACTCCTTGCAAGGTCGTCCGAAGATCAATGTATTATCACGTCGACTGCCAGACTGATACTTGTGAAAAATATGAGCCTAACACTTCATTTCTATACAACTGAAACTTATTTTTATTGAATTTTTTTTTGTATTAGATAGTTTGGAAAGTAATTTCGTATTTCGTCCAGAATGGTAATTGTACTTTTAACCAGCGACTTCCGCACTAAACTCTTTCAATCGTTACTAGATTGCGAATGTTTATGTATTTATTGCAAATGTGGGACAATAAGACATGCCTTCATTTATATTTCAATTCTGTATTTGGCTCCGGGCAAATATAAATTTGCGTAAGCATCTGCAGTATAATCACTGCATATTTTGACAATTTTAGTTGATTCAGTATAATTATTTATCTGATTCTTTTTTTTTTTTATAGAAAAAAGTTTACTTTAAATAATGATGTCAAGAATCATTTAGATCAGTTTTTGTTGAATATGGATCAGAGCTGTTATGAACATGGAATTATGCTACCAGAAAGGTAGCCAAATGGTATTGGACCCAAATGATAAAGGTTTAATTCAATTAAGGGGGTATTATCGTCTAGAAGTTTGTTTTTTCAGTAATTTTTAGGAATTAATTTTGCGAAAACTATCAAACCTACAGTACCAGGGTATTTTATGCATAATAAAACTCGTTTCAACTAACAACACAAATTTTTATGAAATACTTCATTGAAATCTATACAAGTTATGCGCTGTTATGCAGGTTGTGGCGTCAGACGGTCGTTCAATCGGGCGCACAGGCTGTGGCGGTTCTAGTCGTCTGAGACAGAAAGACAAATTTCTTTTTCAATCTATATGAATGTAGTTATCGTCTGAACTAGAATTAAGTAAGTACTAAATTTTTTATCGGAATCACAGCTGTTTGAAAATTAAGGTTTAATTTTCCCGGAAAATTGTCAACTAAAATATGAGAGCAGGGCTATAATATTCAAGCTATCGGTATAATTCTAGTTCAGACCATAGGTGATGCTGCCCTCGAAATGTATGTAAAACCAGAAGTCAGTCGGCCCAATAGTTTTTGAGAAAAACGTGCGCCCGACTTGAAAAATGTCGTTTCGAGAAAAACGCGTTTAATGTTCGCTATACATTTAGCACTAATACTGGTGAACAGCCTTTAAGCCTCTGTAACTATAAGAGCTCTACGAATTTCAAATTAATATTTTAAAGGCACTTTCTCAAAACCCCAAATGATAAGAAAATGCAACAAAAAAAATCGAATTTTTGAAGTTTCTAGACGATAATACTCCCTTAAATATTTTTTTTTATGCGCGAACAAAAGAACGAAATTATTTTCCAAAAAACCCAATACTTATTTTTACGATTTCGCTAAATTCGTGAAATCTACGCAGATTTATTTTCTTTAACTTCTCACCTTTAAAATTAATTTATTTACTTCCTTAATGAAAAACCCTGTCACCCATGTATGGACATCCTATCATAGTATGGCCCCCTCCTAACCAAACATTTTTCTCCCGAGACATATACATATTCATATCATTAAAAGCAGCGGAGGTATTTTAGGCACAAATCTCATTGATTTTATAAGAATAATTCGTCACAAGCTTGTCGGAAGGTGAACACATTATACGTGTTTGTGAAAACGTGTATACACACGTGTATACATACGTGTGTTGAGAAAAAAAAATTGTTTCAACATTACATGCACCTCTTCAAACAGTTGTTGTCCTATAGATTTTGTTCAGAATAGACATTATCGGTCATGGTGTGTAAATAAACCACATTTGAATTATTCTTCTCCTCCAACCTCTATAACTGATCATTGGGAGTAAAAGTTTCTCGCAGCATCGCATATTTATGATTAAAACTCGTTCATGCGAATTCTGTCAAGTTCCTTTTTTTTTATTACGTAAAGTAATCGATACTAGCTGTAATAGTTCCGGTTTTTGCAGCTATCGGTATCCTGTCTTACAAATATGCAAATTTCATTGTGTTGTTGTACATGGTTCATTTTCCTACAGAGGACTCGTTAAGTTTTAGCGTGATCTCGAGAGGACGATTGCTAAACACGAAGAGTGTAATGCTATGTGACAATTAGGCGAATCGATAGATTAATTAACTATTAGATTGCGGATATTTATGCATTCGTGACGAATGTAGATATACAAAAAATTAGAAGAATGGAAATTCGTAAATACATTAACTTCTTCACGCCCTTGGCTACATGTGTGAACGTTTAGTTTTTTATAATTATAATTACTGTCAATAATAAAAAGAACAAAAATTTGATAATAACCAAAGAAATCGTCCCCGAAGAGATTCAAAATATTGTAATATAAAATAAATAATATAATATATGATATTATTACAATCATACTAAATATAATAAAGTTTAGGAGACAAAACAAACTTAAACTTACGTGTCTGTTCTTCGTCTGTGCATATAAACATATGAATTTGCATAAACATCCGCAACCTGGTAACGACGATTCGAATTATTCGATAAATTAAATTTTCCATAAAATTTGTGGACGAGCGATTAAAGTTTTCGATGAGTCATGAATTTCGATAAGATTTCGATCAAGAAATGGCGAACAATTAAATGTATCAATATAATTAGATGTGTTTTCGTCTGGGAGATATATCGCTCGATAAACACGAGTGTCATTATTATTAGATCGTAAACAACTTTTATATGCCGTGCTTGAAACATCACTGTAATTCATAAATAGTCTTGCTTTTATCAATTACTTCGGTACTTTATTTTCAATGTAGTAGAAACAGAAGACGAATTTTCACTTAGTTTTATTAGACACTTGTTCCTTTTGTACGTTTCATATTGAGTTGGTGAATTTTGATACGTGAAGTCTGCCTTTCCTCACAAGTCATGTTTCATCCTAAATGTTACGTGGTGCTAAACAAATTACTGTTAGTTATATCCACAGGAAGTCGAAGTCGCTGAATCTAATAAATGACTTTAGTCGACAGATGCAGTGTCATTTTGTTCCATGATTTCCGCAGAGTTTCACACATTCAGAAGAAAATTTGCAAAAACTTATCATATTTATTCATATTTACATTTATCGCCCGTGGATTAATATTCATTTGAACATTTCATTCATTTTATTGGCAGGCAGACCTTTGGACAATAATTTATACGGAACTGTTTAGAATTCTTTTTGATAAATATGATTAAAACTGTTTGGGCATAGTAATTGTTCTATGTGTTCTTCCTCGTTGAGATATGAGAGCAGATCAGTTAATCACAAAAGCAATATGTGCTAATATTTTTTATTAGAATTGACATTTTGGTACTCGATTCCACTTAAAATTCAGCTTCAGAGACAACTTGATACATTGTTGATTCAATTTTGAGATCCAAATTGATTCAATTCGTTTGTACGACTCTTACGGATCTGCATCCATAAATATGTGGACATTTACCACCTTTAATGAATAAGTACATGTTAAAATAATAGTACAAGTTACACTGTTTAGAAAGTTAGAAAAAGACAAGTAGAAAGACATACTTTTCTCTCAATTTCAATTCAACATCTGTATCTGTAGAAATATGAATTTTCATAAACATCTGCAGTCTATTGATGTCGATTTAGTAATATTTAATCATATTAAATCGAACAGTATTAAAGTTCTAAGTGACATCAAATCTCACCGAGAAACTATGGAATCATTTAATTGTAAAAGTTCGAGGGGTATATGTATGTGACGGATTGCAAGAAAAGTTGCGTATTACGAAACATGATTCGAGCATTAAAACGCGCGTGAAGCTATTAGGAGGAGCTCTCGCACTCGTTCAATGAGAGCTAAGATTAGCGTTGCGGCCAGTGGTTTAGCTTCGTTTAGTTCCGTTTGGCAACGTTTCTACCATCAGCGCGAAAAGTCACTCCACTTAGGTAACGGCAGCCTATATTTACGGATTACCTCCGTAAGTGGAAACAAAATAATCGAGTCAAAAATTATCATTTTTGCGAAAAGAATACAAATGTCTTACAGTTGGTCACATTAAAATAAAATAAGGTACCGCAAACAAAATGTAGATAACGCGATGATGTATAATTATAAGCTGACAATCACTCCCGTTACATTAAGTTTAGTAAATCGACTGCACTTATCAAAGCATAACTTCAGCAATAGAAATCTGATGCAAAATCTCGATAAGCCTAGTGTTAACGAATTATTAACCTTATGGAAAGATACCAGTCAAGTTATTACTTATCTGAAGGAGACCAATTTATTAAAAAAGCTTCAATGATTAATAGACCGCAGAATTTATGCGTTTATGGCGTACACTAATATGAAAAACATACAAAGAATATACATAATGCATGTAAAATATACTCTATTAATTAAAACTTTTTTCCTTGATCAGTTTCTATGTAATACTTACTATTTATAAAAAAAAAACGCTGGCTACAATTTTCGTGTACGTCCTGTATATATATATATATATATATATATATATATATATATTCATCATATTCATTTGTACTATAAATGCATACAATCCACAGTTTAATAATTAAAGTCGTTAATGGCCATCAGCAGTCGATGCGATTCTAATCTTGCAAAGAAAGAAATAGTATCTCCACAAGAATTATAATTTTTCCTCGTAATCTCTCCAAATTTTTAGATTTTTTAATTAGTTTCCTGCAGGTCTGGTGTGATCGAATAAAAATTGCTGGAACAAGCGCATGCTATTCGACGCTCATGCTTCGAGCGACTTTTTGTTTTACTTTCGTCACGCGAGAGAACAGCTCAAACAATATTTGCGATTCATTCGCTACATAGACGACTGTTAGACACGTGAACAGCTATGTACCTCAACGAGCCGTTTACGTTTATTTATAGGATGTCGCCGAAATCACGGTTCTGCGTTTATAACCATCGTTCGGAGCGTTTATGGCCTTCGTTTCCAGTTCCATTGCTCGAATCGTCTTCTTGGTACGTGGAGTGATAAGCGATAGGGAAGTAGCTGTTTCGGCGAATTTACGCTATTGGATATATACTATTATACGGCTATTAGGTCGTATCGGTTTGGTTTCAGTACGGTTTGTCTTAAAATGTTGGAAAAAGGAACAGGAAAAATATTTAATTAAAAGTAACAGTCACCGCGACAAGGCTGTTAAATTAGAAAATATTTGTAGCAGTGAGAGTTTTTGTATTAAAATAAAATCAGTGAATGCTGAAATTAATATTTTCTTGTTCGTAGAAGGAACAGGAGAAACATTTGCTAATTATAATTAAAAGTCATCACGATGGAGGTTTTAAATCAGTGAATACTGAAATTAATAAATCTTGTTCATAGAAAGAAAAATATTTGCTAGTCATACTTAAAAATTACCACTATAAGAGGTGTAAGAATATTTTTGGAGCTTATATTAAAATCTTTTTAAATATTATATTTGAATATAATAAAATTCTCATTACTCGTCGAACGCCCCTTGTGTACTTAACGCACATCCTTCCGTTGTTTTTATCTCAAAGCTACGGTTTTTACGGTTTATTAACGTGTTTCTTAAACTTGAATCTTATTTCTATTTGATCGATAAATAAGGAAGAACCAGACCGTATGTCATCGTGCTTGCACAGGTTTTAAAAGTGTACGAGTAGACGAGACTCTCGCGTCGAGGAAAGCATAACACCGATAGAGGGTTATCACGCAGCGTGGTACGCTCGGTCGAAGAAGCGTGCATCGAATCACACAGCGGTGTGCAAACTACGTAACAGGCGAGCCTTTGTAATTGCAGACCTTGGGAGTGTCGGAGTGTCACAAGTGCAACTGAACTGAATAATGGTCTCTTTGTCATAATTGCACGCCGAGATCGTCGACCACATTCTTACCTACTCGCTCTGTATTTCAGGAAAAAAAAAATTGGGTAGCCTCGTCCATCGCGAGCATTCCAGAAATCAAGGCAAACGTGGCGACGGTCGAGGAACCAGGAAGAAAAGGAAAATCCAAAAGAATAGCTGATAGTTGACACTTTAGATTAGAATACCTTCTTAAGAGGAGAGTCTTTTTTTTCTTTTTTTACAAATATCGATTTCCTAGATAATGTTTGGAATTATCTTACAGAAAAATTGTTATATACAGGGATATGTCATTTAAACTATATGTTTATTTAGATTTTCTGTGTATACTTGAATTTTTATCGAATTTTACAATGTGTAATTAGAATGTACACTTGGACATCTCGTCCATCAGTTCTGTCGTTGTGCCGATCTAAAATACAAAAATAAAAGAAATTGGTTTACAAGACAACCTCCTTCGAACTCGTGCGCTAGTCATTTCTTGAATTTTGACTTAAAATTTGAGAAATATTAAGTTGTCCCAAAAGTTTCTTTCGCTTTATTAATAAGTAATACATGCACAATATTTTATGTTTTATGTTACATTACTGAATTGTGCACGATTCATTTTGCTCCATTACTGTTACAACATGAATATCTATGAAATTAGAGTGTCTATTTATAGAAACACGACCACATAAAATAATTGAGTGCAACTCGCGAAAGACACTTTCGGGACAACCTAATACATTCTTGTGATATTAAAATTAAAGAATATGCATTATACCAAAATATGATTTCTTGATCGAAAAAAAAACCATCCTCCGTTAATGATGATCCGTCACTACATCTCATAAACGAGATCAAATAGAGTCCAAGTTTATATAAACTCTTCTAATCGTTTTCAGCTTCTAAACACTCTCCTTCCATATTTTCCACAAACCATGGGACATTCTATGAAAATTATTCCATCTCGTTCTACATCAAACTTGATGAATATTTCTTTTGTATTTACGGTTACGAAGATGTCGTCGACCACATTCTAATCAAGTTCCTATGCATTTCAGGAAAAAACACGGACACCCCGTCCATCGCGAGCATTCCCGAAGTGAAAAATCCGGGGAAGGTCGAGGAATCGGAAGAAAAGAACGACAGCGTATCCTCGAAGGCCTCCAGCCCGTCAGCCTCGGAGAAATCCAGCTCGGAGAAGATAGATCAGAAGTCCAACGCAACCTCGAGCATCTCCGAGACGAAGAGTACGGTAGCGGTGTCTTCGACGCCAACCACAACCGCTCCAGCGACCACCACACCGACAACGACGTCCACAACAACGACATCCAGATTCACGACTTGCGCGGTGACCTCGCCAACATCCACCACGAAGCCTCCTCTGAGGAGAAGGCACACCACCGGCCCTGGGATGACTTTTCCAGCAACGGATCCGCCAACCTACTCCAGCAGCATGACCTTCTCGAGGACCAGTCCGCTTCCTAGTCCCCATCTAGATAAAAGGTTCTTCGACAGCAGTTTGATAGAGATGAAGAGCCAGGCGAGCAGCTCCAGCACCCTCGATTACGACTCCACCGAGGAAGTCTGGATACGCAGGGTCGATTTCGTTCAGGAAAGGAAGAGGAAGGTAAGGGAGATTTATTTATGCCTGTGGTCGAATGTTGTCGTTGGAATTTCAATCGCCTGTTTACAGGCTCTATTTCTTTAGGAGACCTATTTCTTTATGAATACGAAGTGGCGGAACAATGTTCTTTCATAAAAAGCTTTGTTTTAGAGAATATCGAATTCGAAAGTTGAGAAATTTTAGTATTCAGTATCAATTATAGACTATTAACACGGTGACTGCCAAGCTAAAACTCGTGAAAATGTCTATAAAATTCAAATTTTCTCACGAGACTAGATTAGATAGTTTAATATACATCGCGGTATTTAATTTTTTGGCGTCACCAAGTACACGAAACTTATACAGATTTATTTTCGTTATCGTCTTACCTTTGGAATTAATTTTTTTAGTTCATTGATGGAAAGTCCTGTCACCCATTTCTGGGTGACGCAGCGACCAACGTGTTAATCAGAATTTTTCATTACATAATTAATATCGCTCGTCATCCTTTATAGTCCCTCGCAATACGGGTAATATTCAACAAACTAAAGGGAGTGAGACTTTATCAAACGATAGAGCTAATATAAAATTGTCTCTTTAACTTGTAATTCTTCGAATAGTTCGAAAAAGCTTCCATTGTCTTTTACGTACAATTAACCTCAACAGTTGATGTTAGTTTTTGTCCTTTGTTTCGCTCATTTATCTCGATAGCACAGAATGAAAAGTCATTCTTTATAATACTCAGTTATACCTCACCATCGCATAATAACTCATAATAATTGGGTAGAAACCGAGCGTTAAGCAACATTGTGAGACTGTTTGGATGGAAATTATGCTATCGTCAATTCTTGCAACCGCAAAGACAAGTAGAAATACCGAGATACACAGATGTGTTAGCGAAGACATCAAGAACCGCAGAAATACAGTTGCATGCAAAAGTTTCCGGCCAAAAATAATTTTGGAATAAAATTATGTATAATAGGTGTAAAGTAGAAATACAAATATACCGTAGTAAAGAGTAATAATTAAATAGAGTAGTAATAAAAGAGTAAGAAAACAAGTAATAATTATTTATAACAAAAATAACAATTTTTGCTTCTTCATAAGTATCCGACCAAGTACAAAACATGAAGAAAAAATACGATAACTGAAGGAAAAATGTTCAAAAATGCTTAGAGGCATCGATTCAGTAAGTTTGATGATTCTAGCTTGAGAGATATTTCTCCACTCTTCTTGAATTCTTATCGATAAAGCAGCTTTATTGGTACAATTAACAGTTCCTATTCTTAATTTAAGCTCTTGCCATAAATGTTCTATGGGATTCAAGTCTGGAGATTGACTCGGCCAATCTAGAATTCGGATCTTATTCTTCGTGAAAAACTCCTGAAGCAACCCAGACCGATGTTTTGGATCATTGTCTTGCTCTCCCATTTGGCTGACATTAGTCAAAGTACTGTTTCACGTAGACTCACAGAAGTTGGATTTTTTGAACGGGTTGGAGTTAAAAAACCACTGAGAAGTAAAAAAAATAAGAAGGCCAGATCGGAGTTTGAAAAGAAACACAGGAGTTGGACAGTTAATGATTGGAAGAAAGTGCTGTTTTCGGATGAAACTAAAATTAATTTATTTGGAAATGATGGGAGAAGGTATGTTAGACGACCACAAGGCACTAGGAATGATTCCCGATATCAAATACCAACAGTGAAGCACGGTGGAGGTAGTATTATGCTTTGAGGTGCATTTTCTTGGAAAAGCGTCGGTCCAATTTACAAAATTGAGGGTACTATGAACGCTTTATGAATAGGGATATTCTATCAGAACAAATGCTACCTTATGCCCGTCGAAATTTGCCACAAGGATGGATATTTCAGCAAGACAATGATCCAAAGCATCGGTCTGGGTTTCTTCAGGAGTTTTTCACGACGAATAAGATCCGAATTCTAGATTGGCCGAGTCAATCTCCAGACTTGAATCCCATAGAACATTTATGGCAAGAGCTTAAATTAAGAATAGGAACTGTTAATTGTACCAATAAAGCTGCTTTATCGACAAGAATTCAAGAAGAGTGGAAAAATATCTCTCAAAATAGAATCATCAAACTTATTGAATCGATGCCTCACCGATGTGCCGCTGTGATAGCTTCACAGGGTATGGTTACTAAATATTGACGATAATGTTACATTTGTAAGCATTTTTGAACATTTTTCCTTCAGTTATCGTGTTCTTTCTTCATGGTTTGTACTTGGCCGGATACTTATGAAGAAGTAAAAATTGTTATTTTTGTTATAAATAATTATTACTTGTTGTATCAAATTTTTTAGTTGTACATTTCGATAGTATAATAAAAGCTCTTTACTATGATATTATTTGTATTTCTACTCTACACTTACTATACATAATTTAATTCCAAAATTATTTTTGTCCGGAGACTTTTGTATGCAACTGTATCTCACGACTAGTCCAACTTGATTTATTTGCAAGTGAAAAATTAATTTTGATTTATTTTGTTCATTCGTTATTTATTGTTCGAATAAAATTGAGATATTTGTACGACGGTGCTGCTCGAATAGAACGTTTCACGAGACAATTCCTCCAGTATGCTTAAGAGGAGCGGTTTCCTCTGTCTAATTGCAGTAATCGACTAATTGATACGGGGAGTAGCAGTCTTGCAAATTTGTTTACCGTTGTCGCGTTACGAACTCTTGCGAAAGTTAGTGATGCAAGAGTATCCTGCTCACGCGCGATAGAACAAAATTGAGGATTGAGTTTCAGATTGCGACACGACTGCTTGCATGTTTCTTTAACAATGCAACAAAACGCTCCCAGCGACTAAAACTAATCTCCTGATAGCTAGGCTACATATGTCGATGATGTCTTTTGAGCGAATTACTCGCAGGAAACCAGGCAAAATGTGATTCGAATGACAGATAACGAATAAAACTGATATTTAGCGATTTCTTCAAGACGGTCGTTCGTTTGGATAGATATTATTTGTGTTCATTGTAAAATATTCCTTACTTTAATTTAAATTTAAAGTTTTGTTCAAAGAGTATTGGATGGATGCTTGTTTATTTTTTATTCATTATTCCCAATTTATATTTAAATTGGGATATATTTTGTTTCTAGTAGAAATGCAGAGATAATTGTTTATTCAATTGCACAGGTCAATTTTTGTTAGTTATAAAATATTTCATTCTGTAATTCAAGATTCAATTTTTATTCAAGGAATAATAGATGGACGTTTATTCACTTTTTATTCGTTATTCGAAATACTACATAGATAATACTACCTTTTGTTCCTACTAGAAATGCTGAGAAATCGTTTCCTATTCTATAATAAAAAAAAGAATATATGGTTCGGTTGGTTTTTGTTTATTCAGTTGGATATCTCAATTTTTGTTTATTCATTTTACAATATTCCATTCTGTACATTTTTTTTCAAAGGATAATCGATAAATACTTGTTTTCTTCTTCTTTTTCAATTTAAATATAAAATTAGTAAAGTTACACAATACTTTCCAGTCGAATCTTAGAGTAATCGTTTTTGTTCTTCTGTAACAAAAGAGAAATACATTCTTTGGTTGATTTTTTTTTTGTGCTGTTGCAATAAACATTGTATCGCGTACACGTTTGAATACGAGTGGCCATTTAAAGTGTCGTTCACAAGGTGTGGTCGCAGAGTATGATGGCTTGTGGAATTATGGTCGTCACGAGTGGCCAATCACGCGAGTGTACGATCATCGATTGGCAACTTCGCTTCGTGCGTGATCTCATCAAGGTGATTTTTTTGTTTAATATCTTTAATGGACTTTCATCGGTCGTCCGTGCTTTTTAGACCAGTTTTATTTACATAAATTACGAAGCTGTGTTTCCACAGCAATTTTGTTAAAATTAAAATAATAATTTAAGAAAGTTACAGGTAAATTTCATAAAAATTTGTGAGTATTAATACAAGGTTAAATTTGTTCAGAGTTTGTTCTAATTAAAGAGAGAAAAATGAAATTCTGAGGTTTTATATTTCATTTACTTTCTTTGGTAGCTCAGCTGAATATTCGAAAATATTGTGTCCAGACAAATCCTGTATCGAACCATACGTGTTATTTTTATCTAATACACCGCTATCGATTTGCGATTAGCCCCACTTTTCTACCAAACCTTAGTCCCTAAATCTCAGAAATATGCAAAATATATATATATAATTTTGTTCGAATCATAAATAACGAATGTAAAAACGTTAATTCCGGGGAACAGTTATTTGAGATACATTAATTTTAATTTTGTTCGTTTCCGGTGAAATTTAATTTTACTTTTAATTCAATGTGTAATCTTCATGGAACAAATAATTGACCAAAAATGTATATATATATATATATAAGGTACATAATTTTTGGTCAATTATATATATATAAGGTACATAATTTTTGGTCAATTATATATATATAAGGTACATAATTTTTGGTCAATTATTTGTTCGATGAAGATTACACATTGAATTAAAAGTAAAATTAAATTTCACCGGAAACGAACAAAATTAAAATTAATGTATCTCAAATAACTGTTCCCTGGAATTAACGTTTTTGCATTCGTTATTTATGATTCGAACAAAATTTCGCCTATCTCTGGTGTATCCGACGAGGATGAAATATGGAGCTCTCGAAATTATGATTTATACTCGCGAAATTGCACTCGCGAATCGTGTTGCGGCTGCTTCCGTAAACAACAAGGCTAACGGCCGATGCCCGGCATAACCATGGTGTTGCACGGTTAGAAAAAGAAAGGTTCGACGAACTGGCCGCAGGGAACTTGGAGGGCCTTACCATCCTTCTCTGGAAAGGGTAGATTACCTTGGTCACGAAGCGCCAGAGTTACTAACACGGGCCTTGCTAACCAAGTCCTTTTACATCATTCAAACAATTGATGTCGATTTCAAAGCGCGCCTCGACGCGGTTAAATTCGCTTTTTACAACTGACGGAAATTTATTTCACCCGACGAAAGCTTCAAAGCTTTACGAACAAAAGTTTAA